GAAATAAAGTTCAACAGTCACTATGTTCCTTAATGAGGAATAAATATATGTAAAAATGTGTATACATTTACTAGGACTGCAAATTATGTGAACTTTGAAGACCTTGCCTTATCTTTCCATTAAGAGAAAAATTGTTTCCACGCGTCCGGCCTGAGGGCAGATTTGAGCTTCACATGAATAAAGAATGGTTCAAAGAAAAACAAAAACACATGTACATGATAGCTAGATAGAGTTAGATGTAGATATAGACGTAAGGATGTCCTGACATAAGGTTGTGGCAATTATTCGATCCCTTTCCTTGCAGTTCTCCGATAACGGGTTGATAATATTCCCGCCGACGGCGCAGTCCCGTGCGCGGAGGGAACCCTACCCGAACCCCAGTCTGTTCAGGAGGAACCAGACCGTACAGGCAGGATTCCCTCCTATGGTAGCAGCGTCATGGGGAGATGTGGATCTCACAACGGACGTGGGGAAAGTCTGGTATCAGGTAAATGACAAACTTATTGCAAACAATTGTAAAAAGAAAAGATATCGTACGTGTAAACTTGTAACAAAGTTTAACGTAAATTGCATTCATCATCATACCATAGAACTATATATATATATATATAGACATATTACCTATCATAGATGACCAACATTTATCATTAATATAAACTGTTGCGAGTCAACAGATTGTCAAAAACAAGAACATATTGTATGTTTACCTACAATGACTGATCCTCTCGTTTTCTACCAGGTGTATTCTGATGACAGCTCAGTAGACAATGCCACACAGACAGTGTTTGACATGGTTTCTACGAGGATGTACCAGTCCTTCAGCGACACGTTTGTGCCCACCTGGGTACTGGTGGTGACCTGGGACAGTGTACCCTCTGTCGAGGCAATGTACACAAAACAAAACGTAAGTCTAGCGCCAACAGTCTAGTATTATGTGCAAATTATAGAAAACAACATATGATTAAAAAGAGTAAAATTGACAAATATGTTAAAATGTTTTTTTTTACTTTTAAGCTCAACTAAAGCCTGTCTTTCAGTAAAGAAATTGATTTGTTCTTTAAGACGTTAGCTTTGAAACGTCTAAAGAGTTGTCAGTATGAGTCTTGCACACGTTCATCAATGTTTTAAACTTAGTGTTATAACTGCAATAGCATTTTTCAATAATATCATGTTTCTTCTTTTAGCCAAACACATTCCAAGCCGTCCTGGCCACAGATGGATCAGATTCCGTCGCTTTCCTGACCTATAAGGAAGACGAGATGCTGTGGACCAATGAAACCCAGGACGTTCTTCTCGGGTACAACAGCGCTAACGGTGCCAACTTGGAAAACATCCGGCTGGCAGATCCGTACAGACCCGACCAAGTCAACGGGAACACGGGGCTGAAAGGACGATGGGCGTTTAAGTTGGAGAGCGATGTCACACGGAAAACGAACTACAAGAAGCTGTGTAGTGAGTGGTACAAGACAGAGCCAGACCCTTCAGAGTGGATTGTAGGAGAAGGCCTGTGTCCCTGCACGCTGCTACAGGCACTGAGGGACCTACGGTTCGCCCCTGTTACATCGACATTGTCACCCTTTGACATCTGGTCACTGCTTCTGGTCAATCAAGGTGCATAACATTTTCTTTTTACATTCAGTTCTGCTTAAAAGAAGAAACGTAAGGTTAAAACATACCATACCAAACTCTCAGACTTTAGGCACTAATTTCGTAGTGAGTGCTTTATGCTATTGTCAAATTGAACGTACAATGTATTTGTTTGATGCTGGGCATTACACAGTATACAAGTATATGTTGTGTGAGGACTTTTATATTATATTGATATCCCTACCTGCAAAAAAAGATGTTCACAACTATGTCAATGATAGTGGTTAGAGTCGTTAGACCAATGAGAATTTGGCTGTATGCCCGTTGAATATTTAAATTTTTATGTTTAAAATCGTCAATTTCTTCGTTTTTGTGGAGTTGGGTGGCGTATCTTCATGTACTGTGTATTATTTGTTTAATCTATGAAGACCATTCCTGCATCTTCATGTTGATTGCTTTCATTCTTAGATCTGGAAGTTTGCTTCAGTCCTCTGTTTGCCAGCCCGACTGGTTCCAGTGTAGACTGTTGTTACAAGTTCCTGGCCCTGAACACTGAGATACCCCTGGCTGGAAGTCACCACAGATATCAACGGTTCTCACAACTTCACACTGGTAATTATTAACATGTTGTTGGACTAAACTCTAATTACGGCATGATACACTGAGGAGTTTGCTTGTTTGTTGCACGAACCAGATTCTACCAAATTAGATATATAAGTCTATAACAACACCAGTGCACAAACAAAGGAACGACACCACGAGTTCTAACTAAGGAAAGGTAAAGGTTTTAACTTTTACCTTTCCTTAAAACATCTATTACATTGAGCCTGTGATTGGCTAGTGCGCAAGTATAAACCACGTGAGCATTTTGAGTCACAAAATTGCCATTAGCAATGTTTCCACCAATGCCGGACAACGTTTAGATCACGTTCGCCCATATACCCAGCCTAAACTCCCTCATTCCTGTTTTTAAGTGAATTCAATTGAATTAAGAATATACATTGGCTTGAAAATAATCGTTTTCTTTCAGACTTTGACGTGAATCCCAAGTCCTGGTGCTGTAGCCTGTCTGACGATGAAGACTTCTGTAACCTGTACTATGAAAAGAGGCCTCCAAACAGCTGTTCTTTCTACAGGCCACCACGTTTAGGTATGCCTTACAGGAGCACTGCATTTTTATAACCAGTTTTATGATGGTGTAGGGTAGCTAATATTTAAGCAATCAGCACAATTGATATTTCTTTATCATAAATCTGTTCTGTTTTCCAGAACGTTTCCTTTATTAATATGTTGTCAACTTTGAATCTATACACAATTAGACATAATTTTTTTCTCTGCTCTTGCTTATGTGGTATTGTTATAATTATTATTATTATCTTTGTTTCATAATGAATGAATGCAGACAGGATTTTACATGATATTTTAGCACGTTTACCAGGTAATGTTAATGCATGATTGTTGCCATTTTTAGCCATAACGTGGGGAGATCCTCACATGAAGACACTAGACGGTCTCGCCTACACGTTTAACGGGTTAGGAGAGTTCACCCTTGTCAAGACGAGTGGGGCCAGTGTTGAGTTCAGGCTGCAGGGGCGCACAGAGAAAGCCATCGCCAACGGTACCCAGGAAGTGGCTGAGGCTACAGTCTTCACGGCATTCGCATCAAAGCAAGATGGCTCCTCGACGGTAACTCCCATACTTGTTCATACTGGTTCACGAAGGACCCGGTCTATTAAGTAGTATGATCGGTATAAAACTGAAAACATTCTTGTTATGGTCATGCTGCCTTGTTGCGAAAAGTCTGTCTTAGATAGTTTTTGGTGTTTCTTTTGGCGAAAATATTGAGAATGCACGCAACAATTCTTTGTAAATGTTGAAACGCTAATTACACAGTATTAATCTTTGTTTCATTGTTCATGAATATTCACTGACTATTTTTTTTTCACTCAGGTTGAAATGGGTATGAACAAAGACCGGACAAATATGACACTGATAGTGGATAAACGGTCCATCAACATCACTGACCTACGGCAGAACGGTAAGGTGTGAGGATGGATGAATTAGAAATGGATTGGAAAGAAAAGTAGTCCATTTGTCATTAAGCCAATGACATGTTTTGATGTTCTTACAAATTGCTACTTTTTCAATTCACATTTTAATTGAACATGGTACAATTTGAAAAGTTCCTGTAAAATTGCTCCCCTAAAGATCATAAAAAGGAAATGTAAAACAATTACCTTGGAAAGGAACAAAGTTGTAAACACAAAAGAAATGCAATATGAATAATGAAAAACGTCTATAAAACCTGATCATAAGTCTACTGAAAATCTGCAACAATTTCTGTGATGTTTCATGCAGGTGCGCAGCGTTTCGCCAATCTGACTCTTCAGTACAATTTCAACTCGAACCAGACCAGTGTGGCCGCCTCCTTTTCTTCGGGAATAACAGTGACCGTCACGCTCCAGAAACTCATGCTGAATGTACAGTTCGGAGCACCGGATTCTTTCGAGAACACTACCCGAGGCATGCTGGGTATGTTTGTTACTTTCTGATAACCAAAATTAACAAAAAATTATATAGCAATGACCTATTTAGAAGCATATGAAACTATTATCATATGACTAGAATTCATAACAAATAGACAAAATATTCATGCATGTTTTTTATAAAAAAATGTAAATTGATAACTTCGGTCCAGCAAATGACAAAAGGACAGGTCATTTTATTTTGCCCTACAAGTTAGGCCATGTTGATTTGATTATATGGATGACATCCGCGCGCGCATGGATTTTCGGCCGTTTCCAAAAAAAAAAAAAGTTTTCAACCATACTGTAAATCGTACAAAACAGTTGCAAAATGAGCAAAAATATACCGTAAGTTAAAAGAATAAATAAATAAAAACTATACCAATGTCTTAGAATGCCAAAATCAAACGAAAAAGTACGAAATTGTTAAGAAATGAACTTGAAAACTAGATTATTCGCCAAACCATATTCTGCCCCATTTGTTCAACCCTCATGACCACGTCGATTTCATAATGAAAACAACTTTTTTTTTTTTGCAAAACTTTTTTTTTATTCGCACGCGCGCATCAGTTTAGGGGTTCCCGGAGGATGTCATCCATATGATCAAATCAACATGGCCTTA